AGGTATTATTTATGGTATAAAAATCCCAAAATTTAAACCCACCGTTTTCATAGGAGTTCATGAGAACTGTTTTCTTGAAGTAATGTGTTCTATTCTTCCATATAAAATTGAATAGCATTTTGTCAATGTCTAGTTTGTCACTAAGATGCAGAGCTAAAGCAGCATATGATAATTGCGAGTCCCTCTGCTTTAGTAATTAACACTCTACCTCTTAATGAAAGATCCCTTAAAAGCCATTGGTTAAATTTGTTTTGAGATTTTTGTATGACAGAATTAAAATTTAAGGTCATCCTCCTTTATATATAATATAGTATTTCATTTTTTATTGGAATATTACAAAGAACTGGTTTAGAGCACTTTTTTATGGCCATAAGTTCACACTTGTACATTCAAATACAAACCAGAAGCCTTAGAAAGCATCTTGATAACATCAATTGCAAGAGAAATTTGTTTTTTATTTTTCAACAATAAAGTGGTGTCATCTGCCAGTTGAGTTATAATTTATTCTCTCCCTATAAGAGATACCTTTCACAGCACTAGATTTAATATGGTTTGCCAACAGCTGAGCTACTAAAAGGAAGTGGTACGGGGAAGTGGGGCAGCCCTGCTTAATGCCTCTAGACCATAGACCGTATAAAAAGCTCTAGACAGATTAAATCTAGGGGATGTACCACCCATAACTTTTAACAGAACTGTTACTATATGTGTTTCTTCAATAACAGAGTTCAACACCATTTCAAGTCTTTTAGCCAATAGTAGAGCAAATATCTTGTGATCATTATTAAGTAAACATATCGGATGCCAATTGTCAATAAGTAATTTATCTTTGTTTTGTTTGGGAATTAACGTAGTCAGACCTTGAGTCATGGTGATTGGAAGAGATTCTCTTTCCATGCATTCGGGAAAAACTTTGAGGAAAAAAGGAGCCAGTTCGTTAGCAAAAGCTTTATAAAATTCTGAGGTCAGTCCATCAGTACCGGGTGATTTGTTGTTTTTTAGAAGTTTGATTGCTTCCCTAATTTCCTCAAGTGTGATTCGTTTTCATTAATAGATTTAACTATCCAAGAGTTCATAAAGGACACAGCTGATGCTTGGCAGAATTTAGAGCTACATAAATCTCTATAAAGGTTACTACACTAACTGGATTACTTTGATGTCCTCTGTAACAACCCCATTAATATTTAGTCTATTAATATTATTATTAGAATGGTATTTTTCATAATTAAAAAAATAATGTGTTCTCCTTCTTCAAGCCATTTTGCTCTAAATCTTGTAAAAGCACCTTTTGCTTTTTGAGTGTAACTCATCAAGTTTAACTTGCAAAGGTAGCTAATTCGACTTTTTGCTCCTCCTATAGTGTAGCTGGGTTCTTTTGAGATAAAAAGGTGATCTTTGTTATTACCTCTTCCTCTTCTGGATTTGGCTTTTGTACTACCATATTTTCTTAAAAAGTTCCCAATTATTTCCTTTTCTTTTTTTTTCATCTTTAGCTTTGGACCAAAAAAAGAAGTCAGAGATGTAACCTATTTTTTTTAACTTCGTCATTTAATAGTAAAGAGCTATTGAGTTTCCAATACACTGACTGAGCAGCAACACTTAACGGTGGATAATTTCAACTTAATGTATAGCCTTATGATCCGTAAGAAGAGTTGGCCATATTTCCACATCAATAACATCTTTATTAAGTTTACAGAAACAAACCAAAAATCTGTCCTTGATTGACTAGAGCCTGTTTTATTGCTCCAAGTATATGATCCAAATTACCATCCAAAATCAAGTTAAAGTCACCTCCTAACAATAAGGTGGGATCTGGGAATTTGTCCTACCATTCTACTAATATGTTATCTACAGAAACAATAAGGTTATCATTTTCCATGTTTGTGTTACATCCATAGACATTGGTTATTATGAATACTAGATTGTTGTCCCTTAAGGTAGCTACACCAGGTGACCATTCTGTACCGTGAGAAAGCCATATGTAGTTAATCCACTGAGATCTCCAAAAATTGGCATCATTTGAAAGAGAATGAGATTCTTGTAAAAAGGAAAAATCTCACCTGAACTGCTTAGCAAAAAGAAATAAAGCTTTACATTTAACACTGTTACGTAACCCCCTAGCGGTAAGTAGTACAAAGGAAAGAGTTAAATATTAACACAGGAACAGTAAATATAATGGTTAAGATTTAGATAAACTTTATTTATATATATTATATAAAGATGACGTGAACTAGAGATATGGCATTGAGAACAACACCTATTTAAAGATATAAGAAGCATCTCTGATTAAACACTTTAAAGTAAAGTTGGTTGTGTTTCTGCCCATTCAGAAGATAATGATGAGTAACAAATAATAAATTAAATAAGCCTAGACAGATAAACATGCATGAGAGAAGTAAGGCCTTACATTTTTATAAGGGGAGGCAGTTGAATTCTCCCCCAGATACATTTTCAGGAGATTCAGGAAGACCAAACCAAAGGTCTCCTCTGTGAAGAGTGTCTATGGATGAATTTCCAGTCCATTGATAAAGCCTTTTCCTCTCAGAAAGTAGGCTGATTTCCCCTCCTCGCGCCTTCTTAATTGTAAGCCGCATTTTCTGTCTGTTTCCTTTGTCAAATTCTCTGTGAAGCGCAGACCTTTTCTTTGAAGAAAGTTGCTGTTCTTGGCAGCTTTCCACACATTTTTCAACACATGCTATCTTCTCATTCATGTGTTTTTATTTGACGATCTGGTCGTGCTGTCTCCTTATAGTGCTGGCCTGCAGCAACTGCTCAGTCTGCTCAAAGTATGGTGTGCAGCATGACAAAAAATTTAACCCTAAAAAAGTGTTATTATGAGATGCCAAAACCAAGGAGGATCAGAAACAAACCTTTCCTACTTTTTATCTGGCAGACCAAGTCTTAAATGTGGTGAATAAAGTAAGATATTTGTGTCACATAATCAGGGATGATTTATCTTCTGATGATGTTAAAATAGCTCTTTTTAAAGCTTGCTGTACTCTACTCTATACAGCCCACTTGAGGTGCAGTTGGGAAAATGGAAAAAGCTGCAGGTGGCATTTAATGATGCATTTAGAATCCTGCTTAAGTTCCCAAGATGGACAAGTGCAAGTCATATATTTGTGACAAGTAATGTTGCCAGTCTTCATGCTGTATTGCGGAATCTTATGCATAAATGTATGTGTCGGCTGATTAATTCAAAGAATTTGGTAATTTTAGCTTTAACTGAACCTACAAAAACTGATACAAGGTATTCCTCATGTTTTTGGAAAAATTGAAACAAATTGTGTTTTAATTATGGTGGAATGTGTTATGAGTTTGCACATTTTGTACTGGGTGTCTTGTATTGTGTCTTTATTTTATTTTACTGATATAGACCTATATGTCTGAAATAAAGTTGATTGATTGATTGCAGGGACAGCTTCCACCATTTTCTCAATGGCGTCACTTCTGGAGTTGATAAGGTTAGCCAGGGTGAGAATGGAGTTCTCAGATTTTAAAATGCTGTCCGTCTGGACATGAGTAATTGTAGGGGTTTTTTTTTTTTTTTTTTTTTTTTTTTTTTTAGCAACAGGAGGTTTACATGGTGTGTTTAAACAGTGAAATAACATAAATGTGAAAGAACATGATATAATTGTCTTATATCATACTTACTACTAAATTTTAAAATGACCAAAACTCTTCTTTAACAATAAAACTCTTTATTTATAGCCAATGAAATTGAAATATAAATTGTTAACGTACAAAGTAGCAAAGCCAAAACTATTATGTAAACTGTCCAGATCACGTCCTCCTTGCAGTAAAGGGTTTCTGGTATGTGGTAATGGAGCTCTCAGATGACAGCGGTCCTTCTGACACACATCTGTCTTCCTGTAGATAAGTCTTTCCTGATTAGGATTGGGTATCGTTTTGAAATTTTACGATACCAGTAATTTTAAAGTGATTCCGATACCAATAGAATACTTCATTGGATACCTTGCATTAAATGAAACCTGTTGAAGGCATAGTAGTGGATCGCTCCTCATCCTAATTAGGTCATCCTCACAGGTGGTATAATATGGGGAAAGACTACAGCTTGCAATTTTTTTTTATATTTGAATGAGAGATGAGGAGTGAAATAGATTAGAGACCAAATACGTTGTGGGAAACAAATTTAAGGTAATTTTTTAATACATGTGTTGAAAGTATTTCTGCTGTGCCTTCTAAAGGCATTGAAGATGAAAAGTTGTGCTATTTGCGAGTTTTCGTCAATGGGCGTGTCCGTGGCGTCAAAGATCAACTCTTCGCCATGACACAGGAAGTTGTTGTAACTTCAGTGTACATGCTCACATCTGAACCAAACTTTACGTGCTTGATAACTCTCCCACCCCGCAGACATCTACACACCAATACCGATTTATATACATAGCGGCAAGTGCTATGTAGCTCCACATAGGGGACACAGGAAGTGACATATAACACCTTCATGCGGCGTCGGAACCGCGTAGCAAATTTACAGCCGCAGCGGCAGAGCTCCAGAATCTGCAGCTCGGCCAGCTCACACCCGGACGCGCTACAAGTGCGAGGGCCCGCCCAACGCTGCTTGCAGCTTTAAATTATAATAATTTTTCATAATTGCTCTGTAGTTATGTCATTTTAATTTACATACTGAAAAACATGTGCTGCAGATTTGTGCTCTTTTCAAACAGTTTGGAATTGCACCATAAATAATAAATAGAGAAAAACATTTTCACGGCCATTTTGTATTCATAGTTAAACAGATATCATTGTGTATCATCTTAAGATTGTCTAGCAATACATCGATTATTGCAGAATTGCTGTATCGTGATGTTACCGTGAGCCATGTATCGTGAGGTACCCTGCGATTCCTACCACTATTTAACAGTGCATTGTTCTTTCTTTCTAATTGTCCTTTACCATCAGATAAAGTACATTTTTGTGTAGGTGGCTGCACAAGATGAGTCTTTTATTTTTTAGTAATGGGTCACGTTTTCAGCCCTTTGACAGTCCTGTCTTATGTTTTAAGGTATGAGCTACCCAGGATACCCTCCTCAGGCAGGTGGATACCCACCACAGCCTGGGGCTTACCCTCAGCAACCTGGAGCTTACCCTCCCCAAGCAGGAGGCTACCCACCACAGCCAAGCGGCTATCCTCCTCAACCTGGTGGCTATCCACCACAGCCAGGAGCAGGAGGCTATCCACAGCCAGGAGCAGGAGGCTATCCACCACAGCCAGGAGCAGGAGGCTATCCACCACAGCCAGGAGCAGGAGGCTATCCACCACAGCCAGGAGCAGGAGGCTATCCACCACAGCCAGGAGCAGGAGGCTATCCACCACAGCCAGGAGCAGGAGGCTATCCATCACAGGCTGGAGGCTACCCACAGGCACCACCATCAGGTAAGCTATTGCGCCACACTGTTAAAATAAGTGTTGGACATTTTGGGAGATGTGCCTATTTGCTCACTTGCCTGTATGGTAAATATGAAGACCTGAAGTCTTGTCATCACCATCACACTTAGTTTGTTTTTTGGAATGGATTCAACAAACAAGATATAAAATGTTAATTAGTTAGTTTACAGACTTCACTCGGTAAAAAATTTGGTAGCCTATTACATTACATGTCATGGACACAGTAGATAGTTTACAAGCACGGACCAGGTAAAGCAACAGTGAACACATGGACTGCAGATGTTGGTTTTGGTAGTTTAAAAGGCTACGTCATTAAAGTCCCCCTCCAGACAGTTTTAACTGCCGTTTTTGGTGAACGTTCTTTCTCAAACAGAGAATGGGGGTGTGGTTAATAGTCGGACGTAATCGATTACCATGACAACCGAAAACTGACTGGCTGGAGTGTTCACTAACGATATGCTGTGTTAACTTCACTACACTGTAAAGTTTAGTACACTTTACTGTCTGGCAGGAGTAGCTATTACTTACCCATGATAGAAACTAATGTGCAAGTATCAGCTGTTATCAATCATACAGTCGATGGTCCTGTCACGCACTGCACATGATAACTCCCACTACGTTTTATGTTGCGCTTACTTTACCACGGGGGCGGGTGAGGGGGCTATTACTCTGTTGAACTGTATGTAAAGACTTCTGATACCATTGCCTCCGCCGATGCATTGGTAAAACGGGTGTTGCAGACTGTATATAAGACGGTGGCAAGTGAAAGTGCGACATGTTTTCTGTCACCTGTCCTCCAACACCGCACGCACAAATACCATAATGAACATACCTACTGTAAGTTCTAAGTAAATTATATGATAAATTGGTTAGCTAGGTCACAACAATGTTTATCGGTTTGATGCTCTGACTTAACGAGGCGTGACAGCGTGAGAATGACATGTGACTTATGGAATTACTATAGTCATACGTCACCACCCCGTTTTAACAACTAAGCAACTTTTAGAACTTTGAGCACAAAATTAAAATATTTGGCGAACTATGTAGGTAATCAACATTGTAAGGAAATGACTCAGAAAAATATGAAATATCATAGAAATGTAAAAATACACTGGAGGATGGGGATCACCTGCTGCCGTGATAACGGATCGCGGGTGGAAAACTCCAGGAAGAAGATGCCGATACAACATTGTGATGTCTGTCAGCAATGGCATCGTCTGTTGGCCCAACCCTACATTATATGTTGATATTCATATCATAATAGGCTACATATTAACTTATTGGGAGAAAACCGGTAGTTCTTTGTAAAATCAGACATTGACCACCCTATATAGCAAAAATGGCATGAACCTCCTTTCATAACCCCTCTGCAAAGATTCGATTGTGAGATTGGCAGTTGAATCAGGCTCCTCCTATTGAAGCATTGAATCTTCAACTATTCGGGATCACGCCTACAGTAATTGTTCTGTATATTCATTTTAAGATTTAAATAAAGTTTAGAATAACCATACCTTCACCTGTCACACTCTTGCCACACTCTTTTCACTCTCTTCTGCAGTTGACAAACCAGCTTAGTGGCGCATTACTCCCACCAACTGTCACTCTTAAGTCATGTGAGAACGTGGTAAGCAGTCCTGCTACCCAAATCACGTTACCTTGCCAAGCAGCTAAATTCACAAGATCACACAAGCATTAAACCCTGATTTCCGACATAGCCTGCTCCAAACGTATAGCAGCTTTTTTACAGAAGCAGCACAGAGCAGATCGAACCGGGAAGGAAGTCCGATACAGAACAGCATAGAGAATTTAACTACGTAGCGTACTTAATCATAGTAGAAGCACAAAAAGCAAGCACTAATTAACTAATTATTATCAGTTTGTTCAAATAAAAGTAACCTTAATTCCTCTAAGGGTCATTGTCACCAATGATGATGATAATAATTATTGTGTAAAACCGTATACTGTGAAAAATATTTTTTTAGACAGTTATGGTACCATGAAAATCTCATACTATTGCAACTCTAGCATTAAGTGTTCTGTGACCTCTAAAAGGCAGAAACACTATACAATCAGAAAAAAAACCTGATGTACTACCTTATAGAGTTATGGTATAACATATCAGATATATGGTATAACATAAAAACTGCCTACTTCCTCATTTAGCACATGCAGAGCAACATGAGTAAATCAGAGTGTTAAGGTCAAGGTATTCTGGTGCCAATCTTAGAAAGGATGAGTCAGTTATTCTGTGTTTGTAGGCAAGAGGGATCATGAGACATATGTACGTAACAGAGTGAATTTTTTCCTCCCTCAGAAACAAACAAACCTCTGCTGTTGCTAAGAGAAGCAAGTCCCGCAGTCCATCTTTCACATAGTACTCCCATTCTCTGTCCAGCACTCTTTCACTTATTCGTTAACTAGTTGGAAAGTGAGAAAAAGGAAGTTCCAGTAAGAAGGGTCATCACTGTGTCAGTCCAATATTCTCAATTCTTTCAGGCATTTAGTAGCACAATACATCCTCAGCTTTCCTGAACAGCTTTGCCTTTGTTGTCTGTTGTAGGCGGCTGGGGAGGTGGGCCTGCTGGTGGGTATCCATCCATTGGTCTTGACAGCTTATCCAACGCTGGCATGGTAAGTTTAGCCTAAAAAGGCATCATCACTTGCACCTAGAAAAATGTGTGCACACAGAATAGTTCTGTTAGATTTGGTAGGATACTTTCATGTTATGGTAATGCTTTTCTAAAATCTGCATCTCAGAAACCTAAGCATTACCATTTTCTTTGTCAGCTTCTCTTGCAAGAGAAAAACACTCACGTACTTAATTCTTATCCATGCATCTTAAACCGATCACCTTACCTGTCATCTAATGCAACTTTTTAACCTCTTTTTCTTTTCTGATTTATTATTTTGTATTTGTTGTATTCTTATTTGTGTAATCAGATATATGAATTTTCATTTTATTATACAGCCCCTTTCCCTAACCATCATTCTTATGGCCTGTATCCACAGTTTGGAGGGACCATGCCCCCAAACCAAGGCCCGGGGATGGGCTACCCTGGTCAGCCTAGCCAGCCAATGCCCGGATACCCACAAGCACCATCACCCAACCCACCCATGGCTGGTTTCGGAGGCGCACCAGCACATCCAAACGTCCCTTCACAAAGTCCATCCATGCCAGCCTACGGAGGAGGAGTCACACCAGTAGCTCCACCTGTCAATGTAAGAAACACTGAAACTAGTTTTTTGACAATATTGGTTAAAAACTAAAATATCTTACTATCACTCTGTGTTGTGATGTATTGGTGCGGGTTCACACCAGCCTTGTTTACTTCGGTTGAACTGAACCCTGGAGCTTTTACACCCTTGGTGCAGTTGGGTTGGTGTGAATGCTGAACTCGAACTCTGGTGCAGGCCAAACACCTACTCTTTGGTCCGCCTCGAAGGGGTGGTCTCGAACTGCTGCAGAGTCTCTGGAGAGGTTAATATCTGGTGTGAACACCGTTTGAACCAATCACAGGAAGCACACTATTGTATGTTGGTTAAAAACATTCTCATGATGTTTTGATGACTGGTAAACTGAATGCAAACCCGACCATTTGGAAAATTGAAACAATGTTCCAACCTCACATTGGTTCAATTCAGGAACCGAACCTTTAGGTGTGATCCCGCCCTTAAGTACACACATACACACGTATCTACGTTTACAATGTAATGTCTAAAACAGAATGCACTTTTTGTTGAAGTAACACTTGTGGAAATTGCTGTATTATCTCAGAGGGGATTCAGGGGAACAATCGTGGACTTTCCTGGAGCTGACCCACTCAGAGATGCGGAAGTCCTGAGGAAGGCCATGAAGGGCTTTGGTGAGTGCTATGGACAGAGAACTTAATTAGGGTTTGCTACTTGTTATTTTGTCATTTTTATCTACCGTAAAACTTCAGCTAACAGCCAAGTCCCAAATAGCTACCTACCCCGTTTACTGGCCTGGTGTGGGAACACATTTTGACAAATAAAGGCCTAGTCTGTTTTTTTTAGAAGTTCTTTGGCTGTATAAAACCTCTTAATCTCCACCAGGTCAACTGCTTTAGCTGCTTCTAAGCTGATTAGATTGTTAATACAAATATTAATGTTTCAAATTCTGATCAATATGTCAGTATGGACATGCTACACATCGTTAGATCGGTTAAATTCTCTACAATTGAGTCGTTCAGTTCATTAAACGAAAACAACAAGCCCCAAAGTCTAATTCTTATAGATTTACTGGTGTAACTTGCAAGTAACAAGAGATGAGACAAAAAAAAGCCGACTCTCGTTACCTTTTAAAGCTTGTGTCAGTTCCTTGATTATTAAATTCCTTTACTCTGTAAGGGTCCACAGATCAAAACAATTAAAACAGCTTTTCATAAAAATTTATCCAAGTTGTGAATACTGTCATGTGAAGTCCATTGTACTCTGTCTGCTAACTTCTGCCACACTTTTCTCATCCTGCACCATGTTGTTGTTTTTGTTACGTTGCTGCCTACAAATGAAAGTGCATAAGCAGTCTGTCGGAGGTAGATCAAATGAATGATGTGTATTTGATATTATTTGATCATTTTTATACAAGTAATATTCATACTGTTTGAAATAAATAAACGGTTTCATAGTAGCCTATTTTAGTTTTGTGCGAAAGGAATTAAAGGTCTGTCCCAAATATAGGCAGGGTCAATTCTGTGATTTTAGCAAATAAAAGACTGGGTTATTAATAAAAGTTTTATGGTATTTCTGAGCTGTTATATCCTACAGATGCAATGAATGTTTTCCATTGGGGAAGTTGTTTTCTGACTGTATATTCCTTTAGGCTGCTCTTCCTTAATTATTTAGTTGAATAATTGATTGTAAGGGTGAAATGTGTTTTTGATTTGACACTGTTGGCTTGTCTGTGCAGGAACTGACGAGCAAGCTATCATCGAATTACTTGGGAGTCGCTCCAACAGGCAGCGTGTGCCCTTGCTCAGATCCTACAAAACTGCCTATGGGAAGGTAACAGTCCTGTTAATGCTTATATGTTGTATATGTGATACCTGATGCCATTTTCTATTTGGACAGTGTCTACTATGAAAATACATTGTTTACAAAGAAAACACCATTTCTTTATAGAATCATATGTGGCTCAGTCTGCATTTTCAAGCAGTGTATAATGGTGACAAGCAGACAACAGGTGCTGGTGCTGCCAGTAAATTGAAAGGGGATTGGATGTCCTTAGAGCTCATTATAGCTATGCCACAGAGCCTTTTTCTCAGCAGCAGTTACTGGTGTTTTTTTAGTTATTTTAAGCACGTTTCCATTTTCAGGATCTGATTAAGGACCTGCATTCAGAACTGTCTGGAGATTTTAGGAAGCTGGTCATGGCCATGATGAAGACCCCAACTGAGTTTGATGCCTCTGAGCTCCGCAATGCCATAAAGGTAAATGCTCAGAAACAAAACCAAAACCATAGTCTACCGTCTGTCTGTCTGTCTGTCTATCTATCACTTGTTATTATGAAAACATTTCTTAGACAAAGAAGAAATTTTACATTATTATAAAATGAAGTATTTCATTAGTTGTTGGTTTGAATGAAGATTGGCTGCAACAGGGTGCGAGGATGAGGTTGTCAGATTAACATTTTTCTGTGTTCCTAACAGGGAGCTGGAACTGATGAAGCCTGTCTGATAGAGATCCTGTCTTCTCGCTCCAACGCTGAAATCAAGGAGATAAACCGCTTTTACAAAACAGGTGAGATGCCTCAGGGCGGTTAATGCACTGCTTTCCCCTACTGTTGTGTTCTCCTTTATCACAAAGCATCACAATACTGTGTTGACAGATTTTTATTACTTTTGTTGATAAGCTAAAATGTGTAAATGCAGATGTTATGGCTAGAAATCTATAAAGTCATTTAGTACTAAGCTTTAGTCAATGATAAAAAAATAAATCGGGTAGGTAGATTTTATTGTCACAATACAACAAGTTGTAGAGTGAAATTGAGTTTTGTAACTCAAACATGTAACTCAAACGTAAACATTTACAGTAAACAAATCAGGGTTTAATGGCAATCACAGGAAGGCAGGCATTACACAGTTTGAATGAATTCTTCAGTTTTATAATTTATTTATTTAATTGTTTAGTGTTTGCTATTTAGTTTTTTTTGTGTACTAAAAATGTGGTATTCCACAGTATTTAAGTTTCCACTGCCAGTAAATTGAGTTGTGGTTGCCCTACATACTTGTTTGGTTGTACCATTACTTTTTTTGCCATTTCAGAATACAAGAAGTCACTGGAGGATGCCATTAGTGGTGATACCTCAGGCCACTTCCGCAGGCTTCTAATCTCTCTGGCCCAGGTACAGATATGAGACAAATTTATTACCTGGATACCTGACATCTGTTAACAGCTACTTTCAGATTTAACTGGGAATAAGCTGTTCTGTACTTTTTAGGGTAATCGTGACGAACGAGAAACTGTTGACATCTCTCTGGCTAAACAAGATGCTCAGGTAAAGTCTGCTTTATACTCATCCATAATGTTTGATAATTTATCTTCAGTTGGTAGCTTTTATATTGTTAGTTACTTGGTTTTTTACATTACATTGCTGTTCTCCTTATAGGCCCTGTATGCTGCTGGAGAAAACAAGCTCGGAACAGACGAGTCTAAATTTAACGCTATATTGTGTGCCAGGAGCAAACCCCATCTCAGAGCAGGTATTCTTTATGAAGACATGTTCACAAGCATAATCTGACATAAGGTTAAACACCTAAAACGTATCAAAGGATAATTGAGAATGAGAACACAAATGCTACTTCAGTGCCTTGTTATCTGTGTTACTGATGGTGTGTGTATTTTTGTGCATGTTTGTGTAGTGTTTCTTGAGTACCAGCAGATGTGTGGCAGAGATATCGAGAAGAGCATCAGCAGGGAGATGTCCGGAGATCTAGAGAGTGGCATGTTGGCAGTGGGTAAGAATACACAAACACACCATATTCAAGCCTAGCCTTAGCAGGGCCACACCTATGTATTGTGCAAGTTAGAATCTGCTCCACATAATTCATTAATGACAAGTGTTGAGGCTTGTCTGCAGTACATGTTTAACGTAACACTTAACCATGAAACATTATCCATGCTTATTGTATTATAGCTACACTAATACACGTTTAAAAGTAAATGTAGTGCTGGAGGAAGAGGTGCTGTTAAATGTATAATCCTTTGTTTTGTTTTTTTCCTTTTCTTGCCATCATTTCTCAGGGTTGTGGTACAGTACCCTGTTTTTGGATGTGTTTTGTTTGAATCCCTCATTGATTGGCACATCCAGTCTATACGTTTTCATTGTAAAGTGGTGTGCACTGCAGTGTTGGGTGTTTGCCATTGATTTTGACACTGTGTATAATTTTTCTCCTGTGTTTTTGTTTCTTATTTCACATTTAATTTTTTTGAAATTAATTTGCTTTAAAGCTGCATTAAGCAATATTTGGCCATAAGAGAAGATGCTCAGAAAACAGCTGAAAAATACAGCCCTGAATCAATCATCAATGCAGCTTTAAATGTGCTTTTGCCATCCTGTTATATTCCTTGGTGTATTCATAACTTGATTTTTCATATTGCACTGTTTTTAAATGGCACACAAGTAAAATATTTCTGTCTCACCGTGTTGTGATACATGTTAGAATTTGTTCTTTACAATGCACTAATTAGTAATTTAGTGCTCTTGTTTGTATAAAAGAGAAAGAGACAAAGCATGAATGAATGAGTAAATTGTGCTTGTGTATTATATTTTCTGTTTCAGTAAAGTGTATTAAGAACACATCTGCCTACTTTGCTGAGAGACTTTACAAGGCCATGAAGGTGAGACACCCTGTCATGTGGATAGTAGGGTTGGATAGTAATTTTTTATATACATTACTTAATAAGTCTAGCATTGTGTGTGTGTGTGTGTGTGTGTGTGTGTGTGTGTAGGGAGCTGGGACCAAAGACACAACCCTGATCCGGATCATGGTCTCCCGTTCCGAGGTTGACATGCTGGATATCCGCCAGGAGTATGTTAAAAACTATGGCAAGTCGCTGTACACCCACATCTCTGTAAGTATCCATGTCATATATTGTATGTACAAAAATAATCCTACAGCTGCATGGACGATTTAAAAGCAATAAATACACATGACTTAATTAGACAAAGATTTAAATAATTTGCTTATGCATTTGCTTTATTGACAGGGAGACACATCAGGGGACTACAAGAAACTGCTACTGAAGCTGTGTGGGGGCAGTGACTGAAAAGGAAATACATTATAGAAATGTTCTATAAATATCAGATTTCTGCCTATCTATATGCACTAAACAAAACCTGCAAGCCAATCCATTGCTCTCAATGCAATTTTTAGTTTAAAGAACCTCAATATTGCTACATATTGTTTCTTTTCTATATAAAGAATGCACAAAAAGTTTTATATTTTTTCACTTGTGATATCTGTGCTGGATATTTGAGTTGAATATACATGGCCATACAATCGATTTGCAAGAGAATACATTAGAATTTTTAGAGTTATATATTTTGTTTCAATTGTGCCAATATGCTCAGATATCTAATGATATCTGGCACATTAATCAACTAATTGTCTAATGTTCAGCAATGCTGAATAAAGTATGACACATACAATACATAGCAGCTAAGTACCAAAGTTGTCTGTTAATGTTTTCAATTGTATAATCTCCTCTATATTTTGTTTACACTTTATGTTCACCATAGTTATGTTGTATTTTCAGCAGATGCTTTAATTTGTATATCCTATACCATGTTATCAAAGCATGTAAAATCAAGCATAACCTTTCATATATTGTTGGTGATTTTATCTTCTTTAGTCCCCAAAAATAAATATAGATAATGCACACTGGAAGTATTTGATTTTTGTCACATGCAGAATACATGAAGTTATTTGAAAACAAATGAACATGCTGTATGAACAAATCTTATTTAGATAAAATTCAAAGTAATGTCTATCATATGCCTTCACTGGTTCACAAGCAAATTACTCCCTAGGTGCAATACAAATGGTTTTCATCAGATGGCATTCTAACTAACTATAATATCTTCCAAAGCTGTTATGATTTTCTTATGACTGCTCTACAATTTTAACTTATACTGCACTTGGTAGTAGACTGTATTTGCCAGTAGTGGGCAGTAAAGTCTTCATTCAACCCCAACAGCTACACAAGAAGTGTTCATTTCAACAAGCAGAGCTCTTTACATGCTCAGCTGTAAAGAATGTGTATCATTATATGATGGCATTAGATCAATAACCATGGTCACAATTCAGTTTATAATCGTACAGGCAACATAAACAAGTGTCTACATTCTCCTTAGCTGAATGTGCTGAAAGTGTCCATTCTAAAAACCAAATGCTGACTCTTAAATACACAGCATTTTACTCAATCAATACAAATACATCAGTTCTCTTTCCTTGAGGGGCGTAAGGCCAGCCTGCGTGGCTGCTCTCCATGCCATATTATGTCCTTTTGGCTTCACTTAAAATGCTGTCGAACACACGTAACTGTAGAGAAGTGGCTCTGCGCTTGGCTGGCTATGGTAGTGTGTGTGTGTGTGTGTTTGTGTGAGAGAGTTAACTGCACTACAATCAATAACTGAAGTGAGGAGGGGGTGGCCCGTGGAAATTGATGGCATCCATAAAGCCGCCTTGGCCACATTTAACAAGTCAACAAGTCTGCAGTGCTGTCACTGGGACCCTTGAGTAATAGCCATATGCTGGAAGAATCATGTTTGATCACACCATGTTATAATTTACTAGAAATGATAGAAAAGAGTGTAGGTAATGCTTTGGCAATATTGTTGTTACACATTCATGCCAATAAAGCTAATTTGAATTGAATTGAATTGAAGTTTAGGGCTTTAGATAGCTGTTTAGATTATGATTACTAGAATTCTAATGAAGATTAAATGCGATTGGATCAGTTTTGAGAAGATCATTTAAACATTGTTATGTTACTTTTATAAGGTAATTTTTGAGCATTCCTCTTCCTACACTGCAATTTGGATATCGTTATGATCAGATACCTCTAATGTGTTACAGATATCCAGATGAAAGTCATTTGGGAATCCTCTGAGGTTTTGTGCAGAAATGATGGCTTCACATGAAAATGTTAAAACGTGCCAGTATGATGACAAAGGACACCAGCAAACTTATTCTAACATGTCGTCGGTGCCTCCTTTTTGAATTGATGCTATTCATTCAACACCTAGAGGACACTGTTAATCTTGTACATTCTCGCAGGACTGGGATAAAATAGACACACCATTGTTGAGAATAAATTATTTAGATGCAGTTAATAAGAGTGTGTCAAAAGTGAATGGATAATCAAATAACTGTTCTGCCAGCCTTCGCACAGACAGCTCCTCATTAGCTAGATCTCTATTCAGCTGCCAATAAAAAAAAATCCATAAAATCTTCTGCTTCAGACAATGTGGGCAGGATAAGTGATGGATATGCTTGCTGACAGTCTCTTCAATAAAAGATAAAGCTATTATCTTCCCTGATCCGTGCTGTCTGATAAACAAATCTGTTAAATAACATTTCAGTAAATTACCAGACAGCTAGAAACACCAGCCCTGTTGTCTAAATAATAAACCCGTTCATATCCCCAAGATAAAAAGCATCAGGCTGTCTTCTCCATTCAAATGCGTGTCTTCAGAAGTAGGCTACAGACACAACTGTCCAATCTGTGTCAGCAGTGGGGACCTGCTTCCCTTTGATATGAATGAATTGTAATTAATTTTTCATCTAAAGGCAGAGCACATGGTTGCATGAGTTATGGAGCCAGCATGGCAGAGACACAGAGAGAGGGGGAGAGAGAGTTGTAGATGTCACAATGAGATTCAGTGCATGCATGAATAAGGTCACGGTTTGAGAGGTATGCCTGCAGACGCCTGCCCCTGTGCCAACAATCTTTATTCAGCTGCAGACTGGAAGCGGAGTGCATTCATCATCATCATTATGTTGCATCTCATGAATACTATTCAAATACACGTTTAATTTGTTACCCTCACATATTGCTTATATATGGTATATGGTGCACTCTATCACGCCCAACACACAGATAGAATACACACTGAAAATGGTTGCAGCGCAGCTTGGATATAGAAACATGGAGCATAAGCCTGTGGCGACACCAAGAGCATTATGCAAGGACTGAATAATATTTTTATATTTTTATCACTGCATTAGCATTTTTCCTAAAACAAAATACTTAATGTAATCAGTGAATATATCCATTGGGGTTCTGCTGATTTGGTGTGCCTATGTTAAATCAAAAGGTGATGATGAAGGATCAAAATGACTTGGTTTATCTGATATTTTAGGCTTTTTATGACACAAATTGCCAGTGATGGACTGGCGACCTGTCAAGGGTGTACCCCGCCTTTCGCCCAATGCCAGGTGGGATAGGCTCCAGCCCCCCGCAACCCTGTACCCAGGATAAGCAGCTGACGATGGATGACACAAATTCATCTCATACACTTGTGACACAATTGCATCACACTGATGGAATTTACACAGAGATAACAACAGATAAGCAGTGGTAGTAGGAGTATTCAGATCCTTTACTTAAGTAAAAGTAACAATACTGCAATATAAAAATACTCCATTACAAAGCCCTGTATTGAAAATGGAAAATGTACATAGTACATGGACAACTATACAAAAGTAAAAGTAGGTAGAAAAAAGTCTCCTGCTTTTGTATGCATTTTTAATTAGCATTGTACTGTTGTATTTGGTCAGGTTGGAGCCAATTGTTATGATGTTATACACTGCTACATAGTTTAATATATTCATTATATTTTACTACAGAAAATCCAAATATGTAAAGCATCATGGAAAAAGCTATAAAAATAAATGTAAATATTTCCCTCAGAGTTTTAGTGTAGCATGAAATGGAAATGCTCATCTAAAACATGTACTTCAGAACAGTAGGCCTAATGGAGTAAAAGTGCTTACTTACATTTCACCATTACAGACAATAAATACATACATTTTCCATTTTGTTGATATAAATGGTTGCTTTAGGCCTACCACTACGCCGATATTTTTAATACATCTCCAGATTTCCATGCAAATTGCCTCCATTCTCATTTTTTTCCGCCTGGGATTTTCGACGTACTACTGGGTGCTGTGTACGCCCATTGAACAAATAGGTGCGTTTTCTTGTCAAACCCCGCCCCGTTTCGCCTTATATGGTCATTGAACGGAACGTTGATTGACAGCGGGCAGCAGCTGCTGAGTTGCTCAGACATGGCGGAGGATACAGTGTAACTGAGGTTCGGCGGCGGAGTTACGTGAGTTTCCCCAGCAGCTGAGTCGTCAAAGGGCGCATTAAATGATACATAAGAAGAGGACAATGTGTTCGGCTAAAGCTAACGCTGAGGGGAAGCAAAAAACCACCTGAACTGCCACACACGAGTAAGATGGAAAAATGTATCGCTGTTTAGTGCAGTCAACAGCCTTAGGCAACAAATATGGCTTCTTGTGCCTTTTTCACTATGCTATAAAAATTGATATCCCATACAAGCTAATGCCGTGGTGGCTCCGGCTAACTTCTGCAAGCCGCGATAAGTTAAGTTTAGTAGTCGCTCGGTACTTTTGATCCGTGAGGATATTACATCCACTTGGCCGTCTGGATTAGCTGGGAAGCTACGGAACTACAGCGGATAGCAATGGAGCCAAAGCACAAAGAGTTGCTAGACCAGTGCCATCAGAACTTACTGGAGTCCATAACAGATGCGGACCGAGTGATCGAGCTGCTGATAGTTTCCGGTACCTTGAGTCAACTCGATAGGTTCGAACTGGACCAGAACTGTTCGTCCAGCGCCGAGAAAGTAGACCACCTTTTGAAGATGCTGATGAACAAGGAGAGCGACCATTTCCTCGACCTGTGTGTGGCCCTGGAGAAGGCATACCCTGACCTGTATACTGCCCTGTTCAGTAACAACGGCGGGGGACCTGTAGACCACTCTACCGGTAAGAGCTGAGACACTAACTGATCATAAACACGCTTTCACTTGAATCTAAAAATGAGTGCACCAGCCACTGCCTAACCCTTGCCGTGAATACAATCTGGGTGGTCTCTGGCGCAAGACCACAGTGTGGAGATAGCTAGTCTGCATAACAGCAAAGGCTTGCAGCTTGACTTATTATTAACCAAAATTTGCATTAAATCATAATAAAGGTGCGTGTGATGGTTGCAAGGGTAGGCAACGGTGCTCCTTACAGCATGGTTACACATTTGTAATCAGAACCTCACAAAGTGCAACACTGTGCTCTTTTTAAATGTGCAAAAACATAACGCACTAGCCTGTATCTTTAAACTAAATATTCACTATGCCCTCCAGATCTAATGCACAGCTTGTCATTAATTCAGCCAAGGACTCTTCTGTCATCACTCTCAGGCATCCTGCCCTGCAAGGCTCTCTCCCAGTCACTGCAATACACATATTACACATCCATGATGTAGAGTTGGTTTAGGTATGGTGTACACAATGTGTGGTTATTTCTACTAAATGTAGTTTGTGATATTTGTGCATTTAAAGGGAAAATCCAAGATCCTTCCACTGATATCCAACACCAGTTTGAGTTTGTTTTTAGTGACATTATGTGGTTATAGTACATTAGGTAGCCAGATTTGTTTCCATGACAACAGCTGTACCACTGACATGTTGGTCCATATCGTCTTATACATGGGTGTGTGTGTGCGTGCATGCTACACATCAGTCCACCTTCCGATTTGGAGAGAAAACCACGTTGGTATCCTAACAGTAATTGATTTAACCAGATTCTGCTCCGATTTTGCGTTAACACTACATTTTTAATGATAGTTTATTCATT